GCCAATGACTCAAGTCTTGGGCTGAAAACTGCTGATATTCTCACCTTATAGTAATAAATCCCTTGAGCCTACCCCAAAGGCCACATATCATAGCTGGCATCATGCTCAAATTATAATTCAGGGAAATTCCTAACCACTGTCATGTTATCAATGTTATGAAGAATCAGAGCTTGGGTTCTGAATTTTTTTAATAAACCAGGCTTGGCCATACATATTTATAAGCCAATTAAAACAGCAAGTAATAGCAGAAAGCAGAAAAAGGGATAAATATTCCATGTGACCACATTGGGAAAAGACACAAATAGGTTCAGTGACCCTCACCCCGCCTCCATGTTCAGCATCCCTACATAGAGTTAAGATTTTAAGTAGATGGTCAGAGATAACCAATACAGTCAAGATGGAGTTCTATCCATCATTGTTTGGGCTCCAGTCTCTCCCACAAGGTCCTCTGTCAAGTTGTCAGAACTGTGTGAAATCTCTTTCCAAGAGACAAGTTCCCCTTTTGGCTGACACCAGGCTTTAGTTTTTTCCTTCTCCCAGCATGAGAATTCTGGAGAAATTCCAGTTTCTTGGAGTCCCTTGTCTCTTAGTCTCATAGCTAACGGGAGGGATGAACATGTCTCTTTAGAATATCATGGTCCATGCAAGGCCTATCACAATAGCCCTTACTCATCTCATCCACTGCTACTATCTTCTAGGCCCCTTGTTATGCGAACAGATTGTGAGGGCGTATTTATCTACTTGCTAAGCAACACCCCTCCTGGTCCACCACGATGATTTTATTTTTATTTCATAATATTTCTACCAAAAGCAACACAGAAATCCAATGTCATTTAGTTATGTGGAATTAACTATAAATTTAAACAATATTTGCTACCTCCATTTGCCTGACTAATGTCATATGCAATTAAGGGTTCACACTGACAATATGGAATTCTGGATTTATGTGTCTGCATTATTGGGAAAGAAAGACTGTAACTTATTTAGTTTTTATTTATTTACTTTTTTATGGCTATTAGTGTTTTACTTGCATAGATGTAAGTGTATAGTATGTATCAATGAACACAGAGGCCAGAAGAGGGCATTGATTCACCTGGAACTGGAGTTATAGATAGTTCTTATCTGCCCTGTGAGTGCTGGGAACCAAATCCAGGTCTTCTACAAGAGCATCCAGAGCTCTTAACTTCTGAGTCATCTCTCCCACCCGCTAAAATATTTAAAACAGCAGAAGTGCAGGCCAACTACCAAATCATCTAGAATGTTGTATAATCTTTACGTTTATCTATTAGAAATTAATTTTTTCCATGTATATGCATGTGGGGCATGTTTATATGTATCCCTATGTGTATAGGTGCATATGTGTGTGGTGGGATGTTTCTATGTATTCCTATGTGTATAGGTGCACATGTTTTTATGTTGAGGGCAAAAGTCAACCTCAGAAGTCTTAATTTTTCTCCACTTTCCACAGAACTTGCTGCTTTAGCTACTGCCCATATCAGCAGGATCCTATTTCTATGTTCTAAACATCAGAATTACAGACAAGATGCTGGTCTCACCCGGCATTTATGTGAGTTCTGGGGACCTCAATTAAGGTCCTCATACTTGCACAGTAAGTGTTTCAACCATTTAGCCATCTCCTCATCCCCTCTCTCATATGTTCCAATGATTAGACAAATAAACAATAAGATCAATGTAAGAACAACTTATTAAATATTCACTCCTTTCTCATCACTTCAAATTGCAGTCATAGCAGAGTTAGTCTTCAGAGACTATGTTCTATAAATATACTTCATGGATTAATGTTTGGAATGTGTTCTCTTGGCTGATAAGTACCAACAACACCAAAACCATAGGAATGGCAACAGAAGAGCCAAGAACTTCACCATACAATCAGACTATGCCATCTCATGTAACCTCTATAGCACTTAAAAGGTGACTTTCTAGGTTATACAAATACAGGTAAGTAATGTGAAGGACAAAGTTAAATGACTTGTGACGTTCACAGAAATAGTATATTATAGATGGAGTGCTCAAACTAAAGTGGGTCTTGCCCAAAGTGCAAGGCACAATGAATATGACTGCAGTGTGATTTTACACTGGTGGTGCATGGAAGTGTTTGAGTGGTTTGAAGTAAAGTAATGACTGTCCAGCACAAGAGGGTATTTGTTATATTGATGAGAACAGGAGACAGAAACTGATCGGGCAGGTCAGGGACCCCTAAGCAGCAGTTTGGAGAATGCCCTTGATGGAGGCCACGAAGACCAGAAGAAAATTCTCCTTCTTGTTTCTTAACTATCTCCTAGAGATGAACAGCTCTGCCTAGAATCTATAGCTGACTATGTTAATGAAACAGAGAAGAGGCACCTGGATACCTAGTTGGGTCAACTGGAATACCTCATCCCCTTCCTATACCTTACCTCATTTCCTGCCATGACTCCTTTAAAAAGCTCCAGACTAGCAGCTCATTGACATTTTCTAGGACCCTTCCTGCTATACAGTAATGCTGTTTCTCTCTTTCTCTGTATTTGTCTGTCTCTCTCTGTCCCTCTCTGTCTCTCTCTGTCTCTGTCTCTCTCTCTCTCTCTCTCTCTCTCTCTCTCTCTCTCTCTCTCTCAATCCTTGAGCTCCCACCTATGAATCAATAGTAAAGTCCTCTCTAAAACTCATGCTATGTGGTCTTTGAAGTTCATTCTTCAAATTCAGAAGAACTCAAAAGCTCCTGGCTCAGGGAGACTTTGGTGGCCATAACATTTTCCATGACCCTCACTTCCTCAAGAAAAGTTCCAGAATTCTAAAGATACACCAATATTCCTAAATCAATACCAAAGGCCCAAGCACAAGAAAATGTCACGAAATGATTGACAACAAAACAAAAACCTCTTAGAGAATGAATCCTTATGCCTAAGGTACTGGAATTTGATTGGACAGAGGAGTTCTGGAGAAATATACAGACATTATGGACCAGAGCTTTTCCATCTGGTTAATAGGCTCCTATTCAAGGCAACAAACCAAATGGTTCATTTTTTATAATTATGCTCCAATTCTTATGTTTAAGTGAAACACCATCTGAGCAGAAGCTGATCTTCCTGGAGCAGAGCTTCTTGGCATGCTGTAGTTACTTATTAGAGCCATCGCACTGCTCAATTACACCAAACCACAGATGCACAGATGAGGCAGTGAGGAGGCGTTTCCCGAGGAGCGCACCTGGTGAGCCAGCTCCCCAGGAAAATGCCTTTATTTCTAATTTCTTCAATCACCTTTTTGTTCTTTTTTTCTCCCCCTCTGAATCCTTTCCTCTCTTGCTTATTTTTTAACTTGTTAAATAAAAACATAAGCTATGTTTTATTTTGTTTTTTAGTTTCCATGTTTGGAAGTCAATATTTTTACAAAGATGGATTATTTCACAAAGCACCATACTGGAATGATTGATAACTGTCATCTGAGTAATTAGTCACTGTAATGACTTGAATAAATATCTCTGAAATAGAGATCTTGTTGATCACATTTTGTACATAAGGATATAAGTTCAATGTCTTTAAGGGGCTTAGATGATGACAAATCTAGATCAGGAACTGAAGTGTAAATGAAAAGCACTCAGCCGAAGGTTATAACTTTACGATTACAGTGGATTTGGAACTACCTCAACCCTTTACCCTACCCAGGAAGCGACTGCTTTTGATGGTATTAAGCATCTTGGGCTTCTGAGCCTTTGAGGAAGATAGCTAGGTGAGCTATATCTTCTGTCCTTTTCTGGAAGATAGCCTGGGGTCCCCTTCACCTCTCTCTCCTTTATTAGCATCTACTAAAAAATACTGTACCTCCTGGAGGATTGAAATAGTACCCACTGAAGAAAGAGTCCACTGGTAATTCCCACATAAATATTATCTAAAGAACTCTATCCAAAGATTATAAAGTATATCCAGGCTCTTTAACCAAGAAAGAGAAATGTCTACAGTCCATAAACATAAATGCAAAAGAAGACAGAGGGAAAAGATATCCCAATTTAGGTCAATCTTGTTTGGTATTGTCTGCTGTTTCTCTTGAATTCTCTCTGTGTCTGTCCATGTCATGCACATAAGAAAAGCTCTAGACTCTACACACTCATCCTCAACGTACAATGAAAGTCAAATGCCTTAAATCTCTGATTTAGCACATTTAAAAATAACCACCTAACCAATGTAAGCAAGACTGAGAACAACTTGTTGCCAGAAATATTCCTGTGTGTCTGTTTATACTCAGACTGTCTTCTGAGGTCTCTGTCCTTTGTAGTCTCATGAAGCTAAGGCTGGCCTTAAACTGTGTAGCCAAAGAATAGCTTTGAATACTTGATCATCCTACCCCTATATCCAACCTGCTGGAATTGCAGACATGCACCACCATACCTCACTTCTGTGCTGCAGAGAATAGATCACAGGGTCTCATATATGCTAGTTGAGGACTGCCAACTAGGTATATGTCATTCTCAAAAGAGAGGACCAAACTAGGACTGGGACTTTGGTCAGCTTGGTTTCTTGCACTTAGTATTATCCATGAAAGATCTTGTGTGTGTGTGTGTGTGTGTGTGTGTGTGTGTGAGTGTGTGTCTGTCTGTCTGTCTGTCTGTGTGTGTGTGTAAATTGGCTATTATTCATTTTACTGTAGAACAATGGTCCACTATATGTCTGTGCATCCACTGCCTATTTGAAGGACATATGGATTCACTTGTACTTTGGAGTGATTAGTAATAAAATTTCTATTTGTAAAATGTACAGACCTAAGTCTCTAGGTAGCAATAGAGACATGAGATCTTCTTAGCCTGTATTTTATGTTCCAGCTTTCCCAGAAATGTCTGCTGGCTACAAAATCATGCCATTAGCAAAATGCCTGATTGTGCTTTTAAAAAAAATTCCAACTTGTGCTAATGTGTCCTAAGAAACAATATACCACTACCTTCCCAAGGCATATGAATATGAAAACATCCTCCACAATGCCATCCCTAGAGAAGAGTAAAGTCAGATTACCTGGTGTTAAGAGGATGACGGACATCGTGATGAGTGAGCATACTACTAAAATCACCAGCAAGGCAATAGCAATTCCCTTCCAGTTTCTCTGTGGAGGACTGTTACTTCCCAGTTCCTACAAAGATAGAAAAAAAGGTTCTGTAATTATACATGCTCCAGGAGAAATATATTCATAAAGGAAAGATTCAGTGCAGGGCATAATCACAGTTTGAAAGCTGATTAGAATCAGTTTCCTCTTCAGTAACCCATTTAATTATTCAATGGTGCATAGATTATAAATGGATATCTTTTGGGGGGCAATTTCTTTTCTCTCCAAGGGAAACTAGTACAGCTTTCTGCCTGTTGTCCAAATGTAGATAGTGTAAAAATGCATTAACTATAGGCAAAAGGCTCTACAAAAGTATTATGGAGCCAAAATGCTGACTTCCATTTCTCCTCACTATAACAAAAGAGACCACAAAGAATTAAATACAAATTTATTCATGAAGCACTGTCAACTACTGTTCTAACTGGATGAAGAAAAAGATTTGAAAAGAGAAAATGATTCAAAATTCTCTTCAACATCAAACAATGCACATTTGTCAATATAGCATGTTTATTTTAAATAGTTCCCCCACCATTCATAAAAACAAACACAATGTAGTAGCTAAATTAAATGAGTTCTTTTATATCAATGGTTAACAAGATTCTCTTGCTGGGCAATGTGCATGATATTGGCAAGGAGGCAAGACTGATGGGAAGGATAAACTTGAACATCTTTCACAATACATGTAGTCAGCTATTCATTTTCCAAATGATCTATGTTCTATCCTGTTGACTGGAAATGCAAAAGCTTAATTTACCAAAGCAAAGCACAGCACAGAGCACACTAGTTTCAAATGAATGCCAGTTTTGCTTTGCAATACTTTTTATAAAACACAGAACCTGGGGTGTGCGATATGAGTAGCCCAGCAGTTTAGAGTGCTTGCTGCTTTTGGAGAAGACTGAGTTTGGTTCCTGGCAGCAACATCTGGCAAATCACGGCTGCCCGTACCTCCAGCTCCAAGGGATCAGTGCCCTCTTTTGGCCTCCGCTGGCACCCATATTCACCAGTGTCTACACATATAGACACGCACATACACATAAATAAAACTTAAAAGAATATTGACACCGATTCTTATATTGTGATTATAACAATTGATTCATGAACACATTCAACATTGACAACTGGGCTCTAAATAAGACAAGGAGAAATTAGTCTACAGAATTTGGTCAATGGCTTGTTTTTCTCCTCACAGAAACCATTTAATCATATTAATTTTTTTCTAATTCAGATGAAAAACTACAAAGACTTTCTATACATCTCTTTTTCTATACACCTCAAAAAATGCTTGTTTTCTTTCTATGTATGTGTATGTGGCATATGTATACCTTTGGCCCCTTATGTTCATGTATGTTCATGGAGAAGCCAAAGGAAGACATCAAATGTCCTGCTCTATCACGCTTCTTACATCCTTAAGACAGGGATTCTCACTGAACTTGAAGTTTGCCATTTTTCAGTCATGCTGGCTTCCCTTAGCCCCAGTGATCCTCCTGCCACTCCTACCCACAGCCTTGAGATTACAGGCAAGTATGGTCTAGTCCAGCTCTTTATGTGGACTCTGGGACCCAAACTCATGTTTGTGCAGCATGTGCTCTTACCAACTAAGCAATCTCTCCAGCACCATGGTCAGGATTTCCATTCATATTTTCCACAGAAATCAAAGTGTTTTCTCACATCGTTAATTTTAGAGTAGCAACTATAAGACAAACAATAGGTGTCTATATCCACAGATGCTTCTCTGGAATGCAATGTTGACACAGGCTTCTAGAGATATCTCTGGACTGGAAGGGGTGCGCGTGATGGTGAGACGAGAAAGAGTGCGTGTGATTTTGGGCAATTCTCCCTGGCCATGCTTACAGGCTCCTCAGAAGCCAGTGACTAGACTAGACAGTAACTGCTATAATTCAAAGCCTGCAGTTGTTCTGAAAGTTGTGAAACACTCATCTCAAGGACTGAGAGAGAGAGAGGCCTGGGGAGATCACTCAGTTGATAAAATGCTTTTTGTGCAAGCATGAAAACTTCAGTTCATTTCCTAGTACCCATGTAAAATACCAGGTATGGTGGTGCATACTGATAATTTCAGGGTTGAGGAAGCAGGAACTAGAGGATCACTGGGGCTCACTGACCATCCAGCCTACACTTCTCAGTGAACTCCAAGCCAGTGAATGACCCTGTCTCAAAAAGCAAGGTCAATTTTATCCCTAGGAACTACACTTGAGGTTGACCTCTGGCCTGTGCACACAGACATACACCTACACATAAAACGCATGCATGCATACATATACATGCAGACTAAAAGGAAAATATAGGAATAAAAGGAACTGAGAGAAAGATGGAAAAGATACAGGAACCACCAGCAACAGGGTGTCATGACCAATAATCATAAATACACTTGTGCTTATTAACTGTGAGTGAGTAAACATTATTCTATCACAATACAAACAAAGGGAAGAAACAGAAGCTTAGTGATTGTAACTCATTTCTTGTTCCAGTGGACGACAAATTATAAACTCAAATTTTGTGATCGTGACCTTATTGTGCAATCATTCTAAACAGGGACAAACTTTGAGAAATGACTCCTGACTGCTTGGCAGTTTTTGAACATAGTAGAACTATGTAAAGTCTACGAGGTGTTGCCTCATAGAGTAACATGAACCTAATTATTTTACTATGAAACTGTGTCATGTAGCCTTTTTCCTCCCTTAATAACAGGATACCATCTTTGGCTGTGCCCCTCTAGAGCAGAACAATTCTATGGTAGTCAGATCTATACTGATGGTAATTAAGCTACAGACAGTTCCTAAGGGATGGAGGAATGGTGGTGGGTAAGGAGCCCTGAACCTGAGATTCCGTCCTCTCTCAATCACAAATGATCTTGGGAGATGCTAGTGGAAATGGAAAATGGGAAGGCTGACTGAAAGGGGGTCTTCCATGATGGACAGGGACTTTGAGGTGATGCAGTTTCATTGGATCACCCATGCTCCTGTAAGTAGGTCCTCACCCATGCACTGTAAGCAAGCCCCCCAAAATCATAGGTGTCACCAAGTTGGACTTTGTTGAAATTGTACTTTGGTCTGTCCCTGGTGCCTATCAGGTTGAATAAACTATTGTTCACGTCTCTTTAGGAAAATGTAGCACAATAATCAATGTCATAGCCATTGCCAATCAAAATATTTATCACTCTTCTGAGAACTTAAATTTTTTAAAAACCTGATCTCCATACATGTAGTTTATCTGAGTGTCAGCATATTTATATTTATTTAAATATAAAGAGAAAAATGTTGGAAACATAAGAGCAAAAGTAATGTTTGCATGTCATTTCATTTGCTAAAACAGGAGAAAAGTCGGTTGACTTTCCTTGAAATAAGTTAATGTGAAGTCACCAAGAATTTGTTTACAGTATTATACTTTGCTTTGAAAAACATCAAGTTATTCATCTATCATATCTACCCTGGAAGAAATAAGATGAACCTACATTGAAATAATATAAAAAACATTGACACTTAGAGAAAATAAGAGAAAATGATTGAAACATCAAAATCCAGTAGCGAGACTACACGTGGATCTGTTTTAGTGAAACAGATTTTAGAGGGTTGAGAATATGGCTAATTGCTTACAAGTGCTTGATGCTCTTACAGAGGACCAGAGTTTGGATCCCTGAATTTAAGTTAGATAGCTCACAATAGCCTGTAGCTCTGGCTCCAGAGGACCCAACACAATTCCCTGGCCTCCACAGGCATCTACACTTACATGCACAGAGACAAACACACATACTTATAAATAAAAATGAAATAAACCTTTTAAAATAGGCGTTCTTCAGCTACATATTTAAGAAGCACTGAGAAGAATTTTAAAATGTCTTTATTCCTGCTATAAAGCCATATTGAGATTGAGCTCAAAGTCTTAGCATTTATTACCCCAATTCTTCAGTCTGCTTCTCAGCACAATCCCCAGCTGTCTCAAACATAACTCACTTGCCTTTTATCTCTTCTCTGTATTTACTTTATTGCTTCAATAACCTTCCTTGGGTTTAATTCTGCAAATATAGACACAATGTTTTCCCAAAACGAATTTGATAAAACACCTCAAATCATTCCAAATGGTGCACCATAGTGTTAATTCATTCCCTCTTAAAGAGCTCAACATTTAAATTATTTTTATTCTAATCATAGTGTCCATGTTTGTTTTTTCTTTTTATACTTTAGAACAAATGCAGTTTTAATGGTAAAATTTTTATTAGCATAGCTTCTTTACAAATAACATGATTACATTGAAAATTTTTGTATATGTTGGAGAATTTGTAAAGGGGTCAATGGAAAACTCTCATTACATGACAGTGATAAATTCACAGTATTGTTGAGGCTTGGTAGCCCAGTTTTGTCAGTAAATGATATTCAAAACCTACAGTAGACAAATCGAATTGTGAATTTACATTTAAAAATATTATTGCATGTTTCTAGGTTGAGAAATATATCAGTTTAGTTATTAGAGTACATTTTTAACCTCTCAGACTATGATGTTTATCTTTAGAAGTTCAATTAAGTGTTTTACATTTTCTGTAGGCCACAGATGAAGGCACACTGGGGCTGTAGAAAAGTAATAGAAAAATGATGTAAGACCTCTTGGTGTCTGGGAGTGGGAGATGCCCAACATCACTGTCTGGATGCCAAGAACCATGTGTGGAATCGAGATCACAGCTGGTTCCCTGGCGAGATGGGAGGTCCATTCTAGAGATGCATTCCTCCCAAAACCAGAATTTGCAAATGACAGAGACCTTCACTTTCCCCTGCATAAGTCCAAAACAAAGGCAAGAGAGGTATGCCAGGGCACAGCATGGTGGGGTGCTCACAGCTGCCTCTGGGCTGTGCCCACTGTACTGCCCCAAGCTACAAGACAGGTGGTAGGATTGGCATTGAGCTCTTGATGCACCTGTTAACATTTTTAACAGTAGATAATTTCACAGATTTGATCACAAGTGGTTCAGAGGCACTTACTTATACTCAATAATCTGAAAACATCTTTGCTAAAAAATT